GCGGTATCACTATGGAAGTAGATGCCCAACCTTCCTTTTGAGGAATGGCTGGTGGGTTTGAACCGCTAGCCTTCTAGTTAGCAGTCAAGTGCCTTAGGCACTATGCTACCAGAGCTCCTGAAGCAGAAGTTAGACATGCTGCTACCTTCCAACCTTCTTCCCAATTCTGACACCGGGGCTCTCAGGTCCAAAGGACACATTCCAATCATGGCTCGTCTTTCTTGATGGTAGTGAGATCCCCCTTTCTGCCTCTAAAAGCCTAGATAAAACTGACCAATCCCCACGTCAGGGTGCCATTCAACTTATTGCACAGTCCCACTCCCACAAGAGCATTATGTACCTTATTTATATTTATTAACAAGCTATCCAATCCCCTCAGTGGGCCATAAGCACCTCACATTTACGTAATCCCATCCAGTCATTTGGTGGAAGTTACAAAGACTAGAAGGTATTCACTACACCATATTTCCAGAAAACCTTCTCTACAGACTTCCATGTAATTAAGCATAAATTAATACATCATTACAAATACTAAGTACATCAGTAAAACAGGTACCACAGTGAAAACAAAGTCCGATTTAGGCTATACAGTAGTCTTAACAGACATGTTTGTGTAAGCTTCATTTGTAAATCACCATTAGTTCTTGAGAGAAAGATAAACTACAATAATGGAGAAAACTACAAAAGCATGAATAAATGTTAAAAGTCAAGATTTTTGACAAAGCAGTACCCCTAATTCTCTCAATTTTCAGATAATTAATTCTTATTATAATAATCATATACTTTGCAGACAGTATAAAATACTTATAAAATAAACAAATTATGAAGGTCACACACCTGCCCTAGAGTCATTCCAAGCCAATAACCACAGTTTACAGTGGAGAGCCTCCCAGCCAAATGCTCTTTTCACATCATCATTGTTAGGACCATTACCAGGCTCAGCACACTTGAATACAACGCAGAACAGGTGCTGCATACTCAAAAAAAAAAGTAAGAGGGAAGGAAAAAAAGAAAGAAACACTGCAAAATTAAAATAAAAACAAAACAAAATAAAAAAAGGAAAGTCTTCCCCAAAATATTGGAAACCATATTTAAAAAACGTATCAAATTGTACATTTTCTAAGGTTTTTTTTTTTCCTCTTTTTTTGAACTTTTCATTGTAGTTTGGGTGAAAGTTTCTAAGGTTTCCTGAAGAAATTTATTTTTGACCTAAACCTAATCAGCTGAATTTAGACCTCATCTAAAAATGGAGCATATTTTAAAAAGAAAAAGAAAAAAATGACACCATGCTTCCCTGTAGTACAGTTTTGATTAAAATTTAGGTCCAAACAAGATCTCTGACATTCAAAACCAAAATCGACACACATTCCCCCTTTAAAAAGCTATTGATAATATTTTAAATTAAGACAGCTATGAAGAAAAAGACAATTACATTTAGTCACGTGCTTTCTTTTATTTCCTTTCAGGGACATCTTAGAAACTGCCAGCAATTTGCTCATCTCACACTCATCCTCCTTTCCACTGTCTTTGTCAGGATCCTAGTTCAGCTCCTATTACGCTCTGTACTACTATAATGGGCTAAATGCTTTCCTTGCCCCATTTCAATCCATTCTATACCTACTACCAGATTAATCTTTCCAAAGCATACTCTGGTCACACTGTGCCAATGTTCAAATCAATACTTCACAATTCCATTTAAATTAAGAATGCTTCTCTCAGTTTGGCTTTCAAGATCCTCCACAAGCTCACATAACCTACCTTTCCAGTCTTCATTATTGTAATTCTGCAGTATATTAACCTAAACTCCAAATATACCTCAAGCTTTTCTGCATCTTTGTTTCAGTCTTTCCCTCAACTTGGATGCATTGCCTCCCATTTCTCACTAACAGCCTGTCTAGTGCTTCAAGGCTAATCTCTACCGTAAAAGCATTCCTGATTTCCCTGATGCTACTTTCTTTGTAGCCCACCTATGGTACGAAGTCTTCATTCAGCCTTGCCTAACAGTTATTTATCATCTCCTGCTAGAGCGGAGTTTGGTACTAGAGAGGAAGATCCAAGGGTAGGACCTAAATTAAATAATTGTTTCTTAACAAAATCAAAATCCCAAATTCTATCAAAAAGAAAGAAAAAGATATTTACCTTACTTTTGCAAAGGGAGGAAAAGTTTTATTACTGATAGAATAGAACAACATTTTCCAACAGAAACTTTTTTAAAAGTTATGATTAAATCACAACCTCATCAGAAGAAGTATCATGCATTCAGATTATTAAGAGAGATTTAACTGGGAGAAATGTGTGTATTACTTTCCAAACATAGCAACTCAGTCCCCACAAATATATCAAATAAACAATGAAGCACCACTGTATTATAATGTCCATTTATCTATTTATCACTGGGAAATGAAAAGTTCACACCAGGAAATTTTCTAGAGAAGTGGATTTCTACTGCAGAAAACAGAACTCAAGTACGGCCATAGCCTAGGCCAACTGAGAGATGCTCCTAGGAAACTACCCCGAGTTCATCCAGTCTAGTGGAAAATACACAGCCACAGAGAAGACGCTGTTTGAGCAATAAAGAACATTATTCAATTCTTTCCTTTTCCTTCTTCAAGTTCCTTTAAAACAGGGCAGAAGTCTTATGGATTGGATTCGACTGACCAAAAGTGGAAAGGACCTGACAGGCTTGAAAGGAAGGTTAATTGATGTAACTGAAGAAGAACTTAAAAAATACAACAAAAAAAGATGATTGTTGGATATGCATAAGAGGTAGGTCCTCTTTAGACAGAAAATAGTGCTCATATTTCACCATGTCTGGATGACTCAAGGACATCCTTATGGATGTCCATTCCATAGTTCCGTGCTCTTCATGATTTTTTCTCCTCACCTAGATGGCAGGATGTTGGATAGCAATAATGCCTATGTTTTTAATCTACCCTCCTATCACTCTGCTCACTCCCTCCAATACACCAATATCCAGTTTGGGGCTTCTAATTTATTATGAAGAAACTCTGGTGGCATAGTGGTTAAAGCATTTGGCTGCTAACCAAAAGGTTGGTAGTATGAACCCACCAGCCACTGATGGGAGAAAGATAAGGCAGTCTGCTTCTATAAATTTACAGCCTTATAAATCTATGTGTAAGTCTTATCTGTCCCATAGGGTCACTAACAGTTGGATGGCAGTGGTGTTTTTGTTTTTTTTTTAATTACTTAGTATGAAGTTGTCATGGATTTAATTTTACTTGGATCCACAAACAAAGCCCATGGAAGCACCAGTCAAGAAATCAAACAATATACTGCATTGGACAAATCCACTGCAAAAGATCTCTTTAAAGCGTTAAGCAACAAAGATGTCACATTGAGGATTAAAGTGTGCTGGTCCCAAGTTATGGTATTTTCAATTGTCTCATATGCATGAGAAAGCTAGAAAATGAATAAGGAAGATGGAGAAGAACTGATTCATCTGAATTATGTTGTTGGTGAAGAATACTGAATATACCATGGACTGCCAGAAGAACGAACAAATCTGTCTTGGAAGATGTATAGCCAGAATGTTCATTACAAAGGAGGATGGCAAGACTTCATTTTAGGTACTTTGGTTATGGCATCCACTCCCTGGAGCAGGACACCATGCTGGTAAATTAGAGAGGGTCAGTGAAAAAGATAAAGACTCTCAATGAGATGGACTGACGTTATGGGCTCAAGTATAGCAATAACTCTAAGGGTAAGGTGTTTCATTCACAGGGTCGCTATGAATCAGAACCTACCCAATGGCACCTAAGAACAACAACAATTTAATATTAGCTAGAAAAATCAGGTAATTAATGTTGCTGAGCCAAATTTAATAATAACAATATAAATTGCTGCAAGTGTGAACTAAAATTTCTTAAGAAAGAAACTTTAACACAGGGTTTTCTGATTTATTCTAGATTCTCAAGAACATTTTTTCCCTGACCTAATTCTGTTACAAGGCACTGAGATGAAAAGTTACCCAATATAAACTGGATGTTACTGAGCTACTTTGGCCTTAAATTGCCAACACTTGTTTCCTTTCAAAGGGAATTCAATAGAAGGATACTTGCAGGGTAGTAAACTACTTAGTATGGCTTTTCAACCCATAAGTCATTGTAAGCTCAGTGGTGGAATGAGCAACTGAGGAGCTCCTGATTGTAAATGTTATCTGCCTGGGTTATTTCTATTGGGCTTGGCACAATGGAATGTTAGGGAGGCTTACTCTCAGGTACTTAGAACTCTGTTGTTATGATTGGGTAGTTTGGCCACTCTGCCAAGCTCAAAAGGAGACCTCCTAGAGGCAGAACTCTCTAGGACTGCTGGTTGAGGAAGACGTGCTGTTGAAAGAGACACACGCTCCTGAGACATGCGTTGTTGAGAAAGAGACGCAAGAGACATGCATTGCTGAGTGAGACACTGAGGGACCAGCACTGCTGGGAAAGAGACCATGAGAGACTGTTGGCTGAGGGACGGTGGGCTGGGAGAGAGACCGAGCATTTTTCCTGAACTTGAATTGTAGCCTGTGGTGCTTCCCTAATAAACCCCATAATCTGTGAGCTCTGTGTGGCCACTGCAGTGAATTATCGAACCCAGAAGAGAGGTGGTGGGTGCTTTGGGAAGAACAGTTGGAGAAAAGGCTGGAGGGAGGCAGCATGTCTGGCCTTGCAGTAACAGGCCTTGGGCTATTGATGGTGATTCTGCCTTCCTCTTGTGGGGTTATAGAAGGTCAGAATATGTGGTCTCCTTGCTGTTTTTGCAATACTAGAAAAAAAAATTTCATTTCTGAAGTTCAGTTTTATGAATCAAATATAAATGATAAGGAATAAATACTATCCTAAGTCAGAATTATATCATTTACCAACCAGTAAAGATAGATTTTTGTTATCTAATTGTGAACTACATCACCAAATAACATGATCAAGGGGTTATTGAACATGACAACTGGAAAGTGCAACCAATATTTTTTGAAGTATCTAAGAAATACGACCTACCTCGTATGCATATCCAACAATCATCTTTTTTGTTGTGTTTTTTAAGTTCCTCTTCACTTACGTCAATTAACCTTCCTTTCAAGCCTGTCAGGTCCTTTCCGCTTTTGGTCAGTCGAATCCAATCCATAAGACTTCTGCCCTGTTTCAAAGGAACCTAAAAAAGCAAAAGGAAAAAATTAAATTTAGCTCCAAGTTCCCTGCTTTCCCTTCTTTCTGCTGCTTGCCTTCAGGCTATTCGATACTCTTATTCCTGTTAAAAAAGATAATAAAGTTCAAATTTAACAATTCTACAAATCCTCGTACAGCATAAAGTTATCATCAAAATTGTTTTTGCAGTATTAGAATTATAAAGAGAACATTATTTAACATATCTGGGCTATCAAGTAAGACTTTCTCTGTCACATACATAATCATCATACTGTTATAGCATAATAAGATAAATATTGAACCTGGACACAGAAAACAAGTTCTGGTCCTGGTCTGCCATTAATTTGGTACAGAACTTCAGAAAGTCACTTCTTTAGACCAAAATATTTTCATCTTAAAAATAAAGACAGCTTAAAGAAAAAGTAGCACCCATGAGTACTTTGCTCCCTTAAATAATCAACTACATGATACCAACTGGTCAACACTCACCCTAAAGCAAAGATGAGAAGGTAAAGAGATTAAAGGAAATAGAAGACACATAATAGAAATACTGAGAAGGCTGACACATTGTGAGAAATGTAATAATGTCATGGAACAATTTGTGTAAAATTGTTAAATGGGAACCTAATTTTCTGTGTAAACATTCACCTAAAATACAATAGTATTTAAAAAATATATTGAAAAAAAAAAACAAAACAGATTTGTGAGAAGAAAAAACTAAATAACTGGCTAATAAGTTTCTAAATACCTGTTGCCATCAAGTAGATTCTGGCTCATAGCAACTCCACAGGACAGAGAAGAACTGTCTCATAGGCTCTCCAAGGCTGTAAATCATTACAGAAACAGTCTGCCACATCTTTCTCCCCTGGAGTGGCTGGTGGGTTCAAACCACCAACCTTTCCGTTAGCAGTCAAACACTTAAAACCCTGTTCCTCTAGGCCGCCTAGAGTTTCCAGATAGTTAGTATAAACAGAACATGAGAAACCACTAGTCAATATTCTGTTTTCTAAGAATGCAATGAGAAACAAAGATTACCAGATAACGGAAAGTAATAAAATTGTAACACTCAGGGCACTCAGACATAGTCAAGTCAATTCCAACACATGGCAAACTCATGTGTGTCAGAAAGGAACTGTGTTCCAGAGGATTTTTCAATGGCTGATTTTTCAGAAAGTTCACAGGCCTTTCTTCTGAGGCACCTTCAGGTAGAATCAAACCTTCAACCTTTTGGTTAGCAGCTGAATGGTTGGTTGGCAAACCTCAGCCTGTGCCTGTTTCTGTATGGGCCTTGAGCTAAGAATAGTTTTCACATGTGTAGTGGCAGTACTGGAGGTTGTGGTGATGATGGACCTCAAAGTCTACAATATTACTGTTGAATCCTGCCTAGAGGATTTGATAACAGGACTTTAAAAAAAAAAAAAAAAAGTCAAGGCTTTAGATGAGAGGTATCATGAGTATTTCAACCAGTTAAGACAACCTAGTAAACATTTTCAAGAATTCTCTATGGAAGAGGGCTACTGTCTAAACTCATATAATTCAGTTATAACATAGTACCAAGAAAACATGTAATATAAAAACAGGCACGTTCAAGGACTATACACCTCATTTTCCTGAAATATACCTATTATAGGTGTTCATTTAACCCCCAAATACCCAAAAGATCTGTGTGCCTTACCAATCTATTCTGTCCCATTCTTACCATCACCAAAATTCTTCAGGTTTCTTCATCCCAATAAATGAAGCAACATGTGAGCAAATGATCTTTCCCACCTCAAACCAAAATCACGGGTTTTCCTTCAATTCCATAATTCACAGGGTAGCTAAAGTGATTTTTTAGAAATGCAAAGCTAATCAAAGGTCCTTTCTCCTTCAGTGGCTCCCTATGTTGTTATTGTTGTTAGGTGCTGTCGAGTTGTTTCTGATTCATAGCAACCCCATGCACAGCAGAACGAAACACTGCCCGATCCCGTGCCAACTCCATGATCCCTGCTGTACTTGAGCCCATCATCACAGCTACCTTGTCAATCCATCTTGTTGAAGGTCTCCCCCTCTTTCGTCAACCCTCCATCCTACCAAGCATGACATCCTTCTCCAGGGACTGGTCCCTTCTGACAACATGACCAAAATAGGTGAGACGAAGTCTGGCCATTCTCGCTTCCAAGGAGCACTTTGGGTGCACTTCCTCCAGGACAGATCTGTTAGTTCTTTTAGCAGTCCATGGTACTTTCAGAATTCTTCACCAGCACCACAACTCAAAAGTATCAACT